GTGTGTTAATGCTGAACGGGTCGGTTTTGGTTTGGCTTCTTTCAGTGAGGTTTTTTTGAACATTGAGATGTGGTTGAGCATGGAGCTTTCAAGTCTAAAATGCTCATTAAAAGCCTCTCGCTTGAACCCAAACCAAAGTACACTCTTCACCTCTTTTCTGAAAGTTCAGGAAGAAAATAGCACCAGTTCAAACCTCTCATAATGAGGGAGGAGCATTTGCTTGCCTTATAATACTAAGATGACTCAGTGCTTTTTTTTTTAACTGGATTTTTAAAATTGCCCCTAAGGGTTTACAGTTCTTTATCTAAACTTAACACTTGATGTTTCTTCCTTTTGGGAAAACCCCCATGCACTCTCACCACCCTTAGCGGTGAGGTAGGTGGCTCTCCATGGCCTCCAAGGGTATGACAAGGGTCCAGCCACCACATCCTCCCGAGCTGTTTTGAAATGATTTCTTTTTCTTTGTACATTCTGGCTGCAGTATTGGTGGTACAATGTACTATAACATGGATCGTCTCCACTTCGGTATTTATTTATTTATTTATTATTAGCCCTCCACCACAGTCTTCTGGCTCCTCCCACCTGTCCACGCCTGTAGGATGCACTGCATGTAGTCATGCACTTCGTATTAATATATCAGAAATCTACAAATCTGTTTTGTATTTTTTATACTGTTGAATACTTATAATCAAAACGTTTACTAGGATAGTTAATAAATTTAGTCTCAGAAGAAAAAACGAAAGAAAGAAAGCAAGCAAGCAAGCCAGACGAGTGGGTCAGCCTTGTGGTTTTAGGCAGCTGGCGAGGACCGAGAGGTAGCAGGAAAAGGGGGAATAAGGGAAGGGCAGAAGGAGGACGAAGGGAACCCCGGAAGTGGAGGGCGGCAAGGAGGTGCTGCCCACTTGCACTTGGGGTCAGCTCGGCCCCCTGCGAACACGGCTTCAGGGGAGGAGGAGAGTAAATGTTGTATGTTGGAGGGGGGGGGCGGTCCCTGGGGAACCGGCAGAGACTTGGCCTCCCTCCGAAGGGGGCCGATTAGAGGATTTGGGAGCGGCCTGTGCCAAACACCAGTAGTGACCAGGCACTACGACGACGACGGGCCTCTTGATTTAAGAAACTCATACCATTCATTCGATCCATACAGGTCTTTGAGGACTGAGAAGGGAGGGAGCCAGGTGGGCAAAGAGAGAGTGGAGAGAGAAAAGAGGCACAAAAGGACAACAGAGATAAGACAGGGACGCCAGGACAAGGAGGCACAGAGAAAGACGATTGCAGATGGGCGTGAATCTTCCAGCTGAGAAAAGGAGAAGGCAGCAAGGAGGTCTGTGTCGCAGCCTGGTGGTCATAAGGACCTCAAGGTCAGGACTGCTAGGGTCGGCTTCTTAGGCCAATACCCCTCCAGACCCCACTGCTACAAGTTCCTACCCTCTTCTGCTCTCCTGGGGGTGGATTTTCCTGCGTGGGCATTATAGTATTGAAGATGAGCAGTTTGGAGCACAGAAGGCGGCCTTGCAACTAACTAGACAGCGGGCAACACCAGCTGCATTGGGAGCCGACTCAAACTACAGCTCCCAGCCCCTCAGCGCCCCTCCTGGTCAGTTAAGGTATGAAAGGGGAGGACTTTACTTCTTTCAGCTGCCCTTTATTTTACAAGCGCTTACCGCCTAAGAAAAAATAGGGGCTGGAGATAACAGTAATGAATCAAATAAATGTTCTGTCCTGGTGCTTCCGTTCTAGTGGAGGAGACAGTAAGAAGACAAACACACGTTTAGGTTAACTAGTGAGAAATGCTATGGAGAAAAAGTAAGCAAGGTAAGGAGAGAGATAAAAATCAACTGGAGTGCTGTCTTCATTTGGTGTTTCTCTAAAACTCTAACATTTAATTAGAGAACCAGGATGGACAGGATGGCAGAGGGCAGGCAAAAAGCTCTGGCCTTTGCTGGGTACCTCGTGGGTGGGCAGAGAGGAAAGATGCTTTGTAGGGTGTGAGGTTCGGGATAATGGACCCTCTTGTCCTGAGGGTTGTGTACTGTTCTTCACTTCTGCACTCCCAGCACCTAGTACAATGCCAAGCACATAGCAAGTGCAGAGGAAAATATGGGGCCACAGACAAATCCAGTGTGGGTATGAGAGACTACAGGAGGGACACTGCTCCCAGATGGCCCTGGAAGTCCAGCGATATCTTGGTGACCACATAATATGGTACTGCTGGTGAGTCCAAAGTCAGGCTCAAATTCTGGGGCCTGTGCCCCAAGGAACGGTGTATACATCACAAGTTATTTAACCTCTCTGACCTCAGGTTCCTATTTTGTAAACTGAGGATAAAAATTCTTCCCAACTACATTATTGAGATGACCGAATGAGATTAAGCACTTAGAATGGTGTGTAACACAGAGTGGGCAGTAGATAAACGTAAAGTATTATACCATTAAGACCGGATATGGGAACTAATGAATCTGGGTCCTTGTTAACGCTGAATCCACTTGTACGTGTGCAATGTTAATAGTCAATAACATTATTGATTTCTGGCATTGTCATCCTTGTGCCATGATTTTGAGTCAAAAAGTCTGTGATCTGCCACACGATGGGCCTCAATCCTAGGGACCCAGCATCTCTCTTCTTCTGGCACAAGGCATGGGAAGCGTGCCCCAAAGGTCCCTGTTCAGCGCCAACTGCCCTGGCCAGACACCCATCCATCTGTCCCAGCCCGTCAACCTCACCCTCAGCCTTTATCTCTGCCATTGCCCATAGGTCTGGGTAGGTCTAAAAAGACAAACGGCCCATGATTAGAGGCTGCTGTGTGGAGGGTGATGGGCTGTGTGCCATGAAGCCAGGTGGGTTGGACTTGGGGTGGGAGCACCTCGTACAAATCACCGGGAAATGAATGGCATTCATCCAGGCCTGCTGCCTCCATGGGGAGATGATACCTGCAAGCGCACAGGGATGTCCCTTTTCTTGAATACAACAAGCAAGTTAACGGAGCCTGACCTGTCCCAGGCATGTGGATCTGAGGGTGCGGCCTTCCCTTCTTCCCAGCTCTCTCTTCCCGAACTTCAGACTGGCTGAGAACGTGCTTCCCGCTCCCCACAGCCCAGCTCAGCCAGCTTTGCAGCTGATGCTCCTGGCACCCCTTACCTCCCCGCGTTTACTGCACCCGCTTCCCTGGTCTTTCCCAAAAACCCACCTACTGATTCTTGGTGGACCTTCCCTTTTGTTTGTTTTTGTGCTTTGGGGGACTGAACACAGGGCCTGTGGCACTGAGCTACATCCCCAGTGTGCCCCCTTTCTAAATTTTGAGACAGGGCTCCCAGTAGGTTTCTGAGTTTCCCAGGCAGGGCTCAACCTTGGAATCCTCCTACTTCAGTCTTCCAGAGGGGTGGGACCACCTTTGCTCTGGGTTAGAATCCTGGATCTTCTTTGCCAGTCCTCATAGTCTCTTTTAAGGCTCATGATGAAACCTCCTCTTTCAGGAAGCCTTCTTAGCTTTACAGGACTCCTCTTGCACCTGCCTGCTACCTGCATTATTCTGAGCAGTTTGTGGGTAGTACCCTTTCTTCTTTCCAGCTAAAAAGGAAGCATTTGAAAAGCTTGCCTATGTTGCCTACCAGGATTATACCCAGTTGTATCTGGCATTCTGCGGTTTGTGAAAGAAAGCCACAAAACTCAGTGATTTAACCTGTGACAGGTCCTTGGGGTAATAATCACCTCCCCTCTCTGCAGCTGGGCAAAATGAGGCTCAAAGGGCATGCTCATACCTGTGACTACCAGTCCCTACCCCTCCTAGCCTGACACCACTGAGTACCCACTATGAGCCAGCACAGAGCCGTGTGCCTCAGCTCAGTAGTCCTCACTCCCTGCCTCCTGGGAAAGGAGCCACGGCAGCCCGTTGCTAAACCTCCTCTCTCTGCAGGCCCAGCTTCCAAAATGAATGCTTCATGCCTCCCTGCTAACACAGTAGAGTCGGTTTCTCTGCTAGCATGTGCCTGGCACTCTGCCTCCTAGTACATTCACTTGTGAACTTGGGTCAGACTGTGGGCCTCTCTTTGTTCCCCTAATTCCTTACACCAGGCCTGATGCATAGGAGCTACTCAATTAACAAGCAATGGAAAACACTGAAGAGAATAAACTATCCCAGGCAACCAAGCTTCCCAAGGCCCTCAGGTGTTTGGGGGACCCTCTGCATTTTGCAAGGCAACAGCTATCCCCAGGCCCAAAGTTATAAAAAGCATGGCCTTGGGAGTCCAGAGTCCTAGACTGGGTCCCTGCCACTGCAACATACTGCCCATGTGGTTATGTAACTCTCTCCTGCCTCAGTTTCTCCAACTCTTGCGAAGATAAAATAATTATACAACACACTTGGCACAAGGTGAAGTTATAGGTATGAGTAATAGCTATCTTCATATAGCATTTCTATTGGAGAGGTATTGAGCATGATGTTTCAGAGCAGCCTATGCTCAGCTCGGGTGCTGGAGCTTTCCAGTGCCTTTCTGTGCCTCAGTTTCCTTCTATGTCAAATGAAGACTAAAAGTACCCACCTCAGAAGGTCACTGTGCCAACTGGGTTCCTGTAGCCCAAAGTCCTTGCCTGGCACATGGTCAGTGCCGCATAGCATTCAACTCAGTGCACTTCTAGCAGCAGCAAAAGGCAGCCTGATGTCCCTGTATCACAACTCAACAGCAGGGACAGGAATACCATTCTCTGTGGCCCACCTTAAGCGGGGACAATGCCTTGTGGGCACACTTGCCATGTGTATCTCCTCTGCCCATGGCAGAACATGCCAGCTAGTCATAGTTCTCTTTCCTACCAAACTCACACCCAACTTCAGGCTCTTTCTCAGCACAGTACTTTATGGCAAAATAACAGATTTCTTGGAGCCCCGGCAAGGAATTCTCTCTGCTATCCCTGCCATAGGTCATAGTTCTATTTGCAGACCCTGTGAAACCAGGGGAAGGGGACACTTTGGTGACCTGGCATCTTTCAGAAGAGGATGGGGGACTCACCAGTGATGTTGCTGGCCAGGGAAAGGCTCTCGCAATGCTGATTCTGGATGGAGGTGGAAACAGGGTTCAGCCCCAGGAGGAGGAGGGCCTGTGGACACAGGGAGGGGAGAGATGGTTAAGACTGGGCTCTGAGCAGTCTGGCCTGCTACTTCGTGCTTGAGCTCCCTTCCCAGCCTCTCTGTGTTCAGCCTCTTTCCAGTTTCCCTTCTCCTCTTTCCATGTCCTCCGGGCCTGGAGTTTCTGGAGCTGCCCTGCTCATCAAGAGCCCGGAACAAGGCTGGTAAGAGAAGCAGCCCCAGCAACTAGGACAGAAGACTTTTATTTCCGGTGTTGAAGGTCCTCCAGTGAGGCTCTGATGGAGGATGCCATTTCCAACACATGAATCCCAATCATGGCCTACCAGTATCTTGCCTCC